CCCCCCCCGCCGTCCGCGGAAGGATCTGTGCCTCTTCCCAGGCCACCGGTGGCCAATCCCAGCCTTCCTCGGGGAGGGGCCCCTTCCAACGCCACAGTTTGTTGGGGGAGCCAGGAATGCCAGATTCGGGCGGGGCCGGCCCCAAAAGATGAAAGTCGCGACTTGCCCCGCCCCGCCCCAGAGGCTTCCAGAGTAGTGTGCTGGGACTTGACCCGCCTTCCCCAGGTCAACATGTCACAACACGACCTCGGCCTGTCAAGTCACATGACCTCTGCCTGTCACTGACAACCTGGTCTGTCTTTAGGCCAGAAGAGACCATCTGGTCCAACCAACCCCCACCTCCATTTACAGAAGGGGAAATGGAAGTCTAGAGCAACGGAACAGCCTGGCCAAAGACCTGTCACTACTATACCAAATAGTCGCAACCGGCCTTGGGACAGTGTCCTTAAACAAACTCTGGTTGCCCCCATGAGGGTATGACAGGATGTGTAAAAGGCCACCACATGGCCTGTTTTCAAAGCATAAGAAAAATATTTTGCATGGTGCTTTTTACTTTTAAGTTGTCTCTAAGTGCATAGTTCTCTCGTTTTACTTTCGCCACTCGTTATATTTAATTTACAAATGAGAACGTCAGGATCCCTGGGCAAGCGAGAGGAAACTGAGACTAGACTCTGGCAACCCAGTCGTGAGCTAAAGTGCGTGCACGTCCCAGGTAGAGAGGTTCTACAGTAGAGGTCACGACCCTAGACACCTGGGAGGCAGGGCCCAGCTCAGCTCCTCAGCAGGGAGTCACAGGACTTGTTATCTGGGACAATGGAAAGGAGGGGTCGTGATCCTTGATGAAGGGCACCAGAGCACCAGTGGCGGGGTGGGTGAAAGCGGGGAAAACAGAATTGAATTGTTCAGATTAGGAACATGAATTCTAGAAATATCCAGGGCTAGTTAGAAACTCCAAGAATCAAGGCAAGGGTGCTTTTCTGAGAGAAGTGAAAAAGGACGACCTAGGGGGTTTCAGTACCTCGGCATATTTTGGAAATATTGGGAAACTAAAAGAGGAGATCCCTTTAAGAAGACTCCAGATGTCAATCTAGGTGGACGGATGCAAACTTTCAAAGGAGGAAGGTTCAAGGGCCGAAGTGCTCATTATCTAGGGAGGGGTCAAGGCAAATAGAAGTCCCTTATGGGAAGGTAAAAAGGGGGTAACGCTAGGTGACAGAATGGCAGTTCTTGGGGGAGACAAGATGCGATAAGCCTCCACAAGGCAGCCTAGGGGCGGCCACAGTTGAGAGCCGTTGCAGCCGTTGGGTGCCGTGAGCTGGCGCCCCGCCCTCTCTCCTCTCCCCCACCCCCCGTACCTCCCACCACCCTCGTTGTCCCCTGCGCGTGCGCGCGCAGACACCGGTTGCCAAACATTGCATCATCCCCGCCCCCCCATCCTCCCCTCCCCCCTTCACACTCCCCTCCGCGCGCGCGCATGACTCACCCACCGCCTCCGCGAAGCCTCGTGACCCAAAGCCACTTCCGGGTCCAACAAGACGTCGACCCCCAAGTGGGAGGTAGCGATGAGGGTGGTGCTGCAGAGCTGCTGAGTGGCGGATATGAGGGATGAGGCGGAGCCAATGCCGGCGTGCCGCTTTTTGATTGGTAAAATTCTGGATCCCGCCCATAGGAGGAGGGCAAGGCCACCATAAAAGATCCCGGTTCCAGGGTACGAGGTCAGAAGCTTGGGTGTAAGACGCAGAGCATATCATGTTGAAGATGAGCGGGTGGCAGCGACAAAGCCAAAGTCAGTTCCGGAACCTAAGGAGAAAGGCGAGTATTGACTCCCTATCCACCCTTTACCTTTCCTTCCTCGCGAACATCGGTTGTTCCCTCAAAAGTTGGGCGTCTGCTCTTTACGATATGGGTCCATGCCCTGCCACAGCGATCTTAGGAACCATTCGAGGGTTGGGGAGAATTCTTTATTCAGGAGTTGTGTTTACAGGCAGGCCCCTCTTAACTTTGAGCGATAACGTCACCCCAATCCTTTTCCGGAGTGTGGTTCCGTTTCTGTGCTGAAGGATCCCTGCTGCCCTCGGAAAATTCATTCTCTCTCGTAGCCGATTCCAGGCAACCTCTGTAGGCCTGTCCGGTGAGAGGCGGGGCAGTAGGACACACCCCTGCTCTGAGATTGGGTGACCTGTAGCTCAGTTCTGTATCCGCCCTTTCGCCATTGCGGGCATTCTCCCTGTCGCCACCCCCCCACCCTGAGCTCTGTCCCAACTACAGCACCTCCAGGGGTCAGCATGTCCACTGAGGTAGCTGAGGATCCTGGACTCTGCACACAACTTTTGGAGAGGAAGGGTGCTGATGGACAGGGAGAGATGGGTTTTCCATTTTCCCCAGAGGTCTCTTGGCCTCCTGCACAAGAGAGCAGCTTGGATCTTTGTAAAAGTGGGAAGCCCTTTGGGTTTTCCCTAGGGTATTCCCCTTCTCCTGGGATTGATCCCTTCCTCTTTTCCCCCCTACTCTCAACTAATCTCTGCGTAACCATTGCATCAGGCCAGCCCTACTGTTTGGCTTTGTAGTCCTCTGGCCTGGAGCTCCACTGCTGATGAAAGCCAAGTCCCCACACTAGAAGGCAAGGAATTGTTCCCCTGAGAGGACAGCAATGTAGAGAAATAATCGGAGCAATATTGCATCTCCAGTCTCGAGGGACAGGCAGCTCTGGGTTTAGTCTTCCCTATAAGTGAGATTGGGGCGGGAGATTTACATTCATTCATATACTTAATGAGCACCTGCTATGTGTCAAGCAGTTTGTGGCTCAAAGTGTATTTCTAAATAAGAAAAAAATATTCTGCAGTGGAAGCCATAATTGACATGGAGAAAACTAAGCAGGAAAAAACAATGTTTAGGGTGGAGGTTAGTTTTTTATCAGTTGGCCAGGGATTGCCTCACTGAGATAACATTTAAATGAAAGGCCCTAAACCAGGCAAGTGGTGCCTGTAATCCCAATGACTCTGGAGGCTGGCCAGGAAAATAGCAAGTTGGAGGCTAGCCTCAGCCATTAAATAGACCCCATCTCAAAGTAATAAAATGGCTGAGGATATAGCCCAGTAGTAATGCACCCCTGGGTTTTAATCCTCAATACCAAAAAATAAAAACCTGAAAGAGGCAAGCCAGTGAGCCATGCAGATACTATGGAAGGAAGAGCATTCCAGGTGGAACAGCTAGAGCTTAGACCCTAAAATGGCAGTATGCCTGGTATCTTTAGGAACAGGCCAGGTGGGCTGGAGTGAGCAAGGACGAGAGTGGCCTATGAAAACTCAACAATTTGTAGATGAGAAGCAAATTCTGTAGGGCCTTGCAAGCCATTATGAGGATGTTTTTAATATGCATGAAATTGGAAGTCATTGGAAGATTCAAAGCAAAGACTTTACTTAAGTTTTTAAAGGGCTGGGGATATAGCTTAGTAGTAAAATGCACCATCATCATCATCACAAAAGGCTCTCTTGAGGACTGGGGTTGTGGCTCAGCGGTAGAGCGCTCTCCTAGCACAGGCAAGGCCCTGGGTTTAATCCTTAGCACCATATTAAAAAAATAAATAAAGGTTAAAAAAAAAGTTCACTTGAGGTGCTATGTTGTGAATAGACTTAGGGAGTGGTGGCAAGAGCAGAATGGGGAGACATTCTGCAAGGAAGTTTCCAAGGTAATGAGGAGAGATGATAGTAAATTGATCTTCATTTGAAAACAAGGGTCTGTGTATTTTTAAAGAATGAGGATTGCTGATTGGGAGGCCAACCTTGCCAACTTAGTGAGACCCTGTCTCAAAATTTAAAAAGGCTGGGGATATAGTTAGGTGGTAGACCCTCTCTGGGCTCAATCCCCAATACAAAAGAAAAAAACAGAGAATTTGCTAGTGCTGTGGATTGGATTGTCAAGTGTGAGGGGAGAGGGGATGACCCCAAGATTTTTGCCTTAACCATCTTGAAATGGAGATGACCCTGGAAGGAAAAGGTCAGCAGGAGATTGTCTTTGGACTTAATATAAATGCCTGTTACACATCCAAAAGGAGATGGTAAGTAGGCAGTACATAGCAGAGTTGAAGGTCCTAGACCAGAAATAGAAATGTACATTTGGACCATATGAGTGCAGAAATAGAATTAGGAAAATGCCACTAGACTTGTTTCTCTTAGCCCTTACTGGGCATGTTTGAGGGCTGCCTTATATTTAGAGAAACCGAGTTGGCCAGGACTTTGCTATTATGTAATCAGGACTACAAATGTCACATGTCACAACTAAAAATAAAGGAAGCAGAGCTCTCTTCTGTCCTTGGAAATAGCTATAGGACCTTTTAACTATCCATATTCCACAAGACCAGTAAGAGGTTAGAAGAATCTGCCTCTCCTTTCAAAAATGGCTGACATTTCTCTTTGTTCCACAGTGTTCCAGAAGGAAGTGTATCTTCATACATCACCACACCTGAAAGTAGGTAAACTTCATAACTCTTTTTCCAAAACCAACTCCTAAGGAAAAGCTGCTTAGGCTCCCTTTGCTGGGATCCTAAGTTACTAGAAGACCCAGCCTAAAGAAGGAGAGCAGGGTTTGAATCTCAACAAGCTTTTGTTGTCAGGCCATGTCTATCCCTCTAGCCTGCCCCTTAACAACATGGTGACCAAATCACTATTTTTAGAGCATTTCCTAATTGAAAGCTGCTCTCTCAAAGTCAGCCCTAGCAAAGACAGTTGGTTTGCCTTGCTCATCTTCAGTCTTCCTTGAAGTTAGATGGACTCAAAGGACCTTTTATCCAAAATCCCCACACAGAAAGGAGCACAAATGGCCTGGTAATTGTTCCTTAAAGTACCTATAGAGTTCCCATGTGGGCTGAGAACTTTCATTAGGATCTCATAAGAATGTGTTTGGGTAGCATCTGTTATCACTATTAATCTCTGCTATTGTAACATTAAAGCAGTCATAAACAGTATGTAAATAAATAGATATGTTCCAATAAAACTTTCACTTCCAGATCATTTTGCCAACCTGTGGTATAGACTTTGTTTGCCAAGTGGAACTTTTATACCGAGTATGTACTTTTCCAGAACCTGATCCAACTGCAGAGATGGCAGCTGAGTCATTGCCTTTCTCCTTCGGGACGGTGTCCAGCTGGGAGCTGGAAGCCTGGTATGAGGATCTGCAGGAGGTTCTGTCTTCAGATGAAAATGGGGGTACTTATATCTCACCCCCTAGAAACGAAGAGGTGAGAATGCTAATTCTAAAGTGAGGGGATATTATCTTGTCTTTCTCTACTACTATCTGCCTTTCCTTTCTTCATTTCTTTGAAGGAAGAATCAAAAACCTTCACCACTCTTAACCCTGCGTCTCTGGCTTGGCTGGCTGGGGAGCCAGGTCCAGCAGAAGTCACAAGCATCTCCCAGAGTCCTCGCTCTCCAGACTCCAGTCAGAGCTCCCTGGCTCAGGAAGAAGAGGAGGAAGACCAAGGAAAAACTAGGAAACGGAAACACAGTGGCCAGTGGCCAGCCCGGGCTGGAAAGCAACGCATGAAGGAAAAAGAACAAGAGAATGAAAGGAAAGTGGCACAGCTAACTGAAGAAAATGAACGGCTCAAGCAGGAAATAGAGCGCCTGACTCAGGAAGTAGAAGCCACACGCCGTGCTCTAATTGACCGAATGGTTAATCTACACCAAGCCTGAACAATTGGAACCATCACTCCCCAACTGGGGCCACTACCTACCTTACCCTGAAGTGGCTACTGACCACTTTCACAACAGTGTCAATGATGTGATCTTCAACACATGTCCAGTAGGGGGAAGGATTGGGGGAGACAAAAGCAAAGGGTCTCAGCTTATATATAGAGATAATACATTTATTTATTAACTGTCCATATCCATTAAAGACTTTCTATGAGCCACGTTCTCTCACTTTTTCTTTTTGCCTTTAGGAGTTTCAAGAGGTTTCCCCTCAGCTAGAGCCAACTGTTTCTTTAGATCCAAGAGTTTAGCCACCTCCGCAGCAACCTGGTTCTTGTCTGCCTTTTGTGCTTTCAGTTCTCGGACAATGTTGCCCTAAGAGAAGGGTTGAGTGGAGAGAGTAACAGTGAGTGAGACCAGGTAAAAGTCTCTTTAGGATTCAGCTTTTCCAGTCTCCCAATGGGCTTCAGCTTCATACCTGTTTTGTCACTTCATCCATAAGCATTTGTATCTGCTGTGGCCCCACTGTTGTAACAGTCTCTACAACTGCTGGCTTGGGGAATACTTTTGCCTAGAGAAGAAAAACTGGGTTATCACTGGCTGCCATAAACATCTCCTGATCTCTAAAAAAGTGATCACTTTTAACTCGAGGACTCTTCTAGCTAAGATAGGAAAGAAAAAAGGAAGTAGCAGGGCCAAAAGATGGAAAGTGTGATGAGGAATTAAGGTGCTGCTGTGGCTGTTGGGTGAGGGGACAGTCTAGCTTTCTCACCTGGCCCCCTCCAAATCGCTGCCTCAAACTTTCAATCTGGTCATTTTCCAGTTTTTGGAACAAAGGAGTGACCTGTGAAAGAGAATTCCAGAATCATTCACTGCTTACATATAAACTCTACCAAAAAATGGGCTTCTCCAAACCTACTCTTGACATTTAAAAATCCTTAATGCTCCCAGGTACCATGGCACACACCTGTAATCCCAGGAAATATATGTAAAGGAAAGAAGCAAATGAAGGAAATGGAGAGTTAATAGTAATAGACTGATTCTGGACAAACCTGTGGAGAGGGCCCAGTGGACACTGAAACCCTCTTCCACTTATAGCCCAAGTAGATAATGGGAGGAGAGGGATTTTTGCAGTTAGGGTTTTAATCCCAGAATAGCAATTTGTTTTCTTAAGATGGAGTATTTGGGGCTGGGGCTGTAGCTTAGCAGCAGAGTGCTTGCCTACTATGTATGAGGCACTGGGTTTGATCCTCAACACCCACATAAAAATAAAGGCATTGTATACATCTATAACTACCCAAAAAAATTAGATTTTGGTTTTGGGGCTTGAACCCAGGGGTGCTTAACCACTGAGCCACATACCCAGCCCTTTGTTTATGTGTGTATTTTATTTAGAGACAAGATCTCACTTAGTTGCTGAGGCTGGCTTTGAACTCAAGATCCTTCTGCCTCAGCCTCCCAAGCCACTGGGATCACAGGCATGTGCCACGGAGCCAGCCTGTTTGTGGTTTCTTTGCATGATGGAAGACTACTGTCTGAGGTTTAGATCAGACTGCAAAGTGACTCTTTTAAGATGAAAGATATATTTTATAATGGCATTTGAGTATTCTACCTGATAATGCAGAGGCAGGAGAACTGAAAGTTCAAGGCCAACTCAAACAATAAAGAGCTAAGGATGCAGTTCAGCAGGAGATCATCTGCCCAGCATGGAAGAGTGAATGAGGTCTGGTCATCCCTAGTACTGGCCCTTCCCAAAAAAGTCTTAGAAGGAACATAACACTAAGCAAATACCTACTGGTTAAGAAAAGAATTCAGAAAAAGCATTCCTCAGAAAGCCCAAAGTATTGATAGGATCAGAAAGTATTTCAACTATTTAATGATACTAGGTCAATCCATAAGTTTTAGATGTACTCTGTAGTAATCCTGTGTCAAAGAGTAATAGATACTATTGTATTCTCTCTGCCTCACTGCTTACTAGTATTATGGAAACAATAATATTGTGGTATTTCTTCAAAAAAAGAATGGCTGTATACCAGTTAGTTTTTATGTGCCAGGTATGGTTTTAGCATGAAAACCCCCAAAAAAAAAAAAAAAAAAAAAAAACTGAACTTGTGAACCAGTACCAAGGACCTTGCATCACAAGCACACCCAACTGCAGAATGAGGAGGGGTTCAGAAGACCTATAAGAGCTCTTGTCCCAAAAGCAAAGAACAAGATAATGTTAGGTCTGTTCTAACATCATCCCAATAGTCACATGGCAGGGAGACCTACCGTGCCAATCTGGTGCCCTGCTGGTAAAGTACACAGGAAGTTCATGGGAAGGACACTGCAGGCTGGAAGCGGGAGTTGCAGCTGTGCCTGGATGGTGGTGCTAACCGTGGGCATGAAAGGCTGGAGCATGGTGGACAGCAAGGCAGCTATATTCACTGCCAAGCCTGTCACTGTGCCTGCCCGCTGCCTTAAGGAGAAGAGAGATTTATCAAGACCTCCAGGAGGACATAGCCTATCAGCCATCTAATTTCTAGAGACACCCCTACCCCTTTAACATACCTGTCAGCCTCACTGCCTTTAATCCACTTCCAGGGCTCATTCACTTGAATGTACTGGTTACCATGTCGAGATATGGTAAGGATACTGCGTAAGGCATCCCGGATCCTGGGAAGAAAGGAAGCAGGCCAAGATATATGAGTCTCTTGACATGCCAGCAAACCCTAAGAGGCAGAGCTGTGTAAGTTACTTACCGAACCTTCTCCAGCAGTTGGTGATAATGTCGGAGCTCCAGGGTAATATGGGCCAGCAGGCGCTGATCATCAGGGGTAAGCACCATCTCAGGCACACAGCCCCCAAAAAACTTAGACACAAACATCCCAGCTCTTAATAGAGATAGAGAAGGAGAAGAGGAGAAAAAAATTTTTGGCCAGTCTCCTTATAAATATTTGACACTTTCCACAACTTTTCATTCTCTCAGGATTCCTGTCCACATTAACATGCTTCCTGGCCCTTCAAAGTAAAAGGCAAAGCTTAACAAATTAAGCCTTTATTCTCTCGCCCCTAAAAATGTGACTCTTCAAATGAAGAAACCTAATCAAGTTAAGCAACTATACATTTTGCTTTTAAGTAAATTTTTAAGAATGATCAAGTTAAGGGGGCTGGGGATGTGGCTCAAGCGGTAGTGGGCTCGCCTGACATGCGTGTGGCCCAGGTTCGATCCTCAGCACCACATACAAACAAAGATGTTGTGTCC